AAACTGCACTACAGTGACGGGGCAACAGCAACCGATACAGATGTCCAATGTACACCCCATTCTGAAAGCGCTTCGTGGCGCTGAGGTAGTGTCGGCTTCACGAGCTGGGGGTCTACAGTTCCAATCACGTTCTGAACGACTTTTTTTTTTTTTTTTTCACTTTTTATTTTTTTATTTAGGTCACAGGCGCTATATTTACGTGTAGGGACAGGGACAGGAACAGGTACAGGTACACTGACAGGACCGCGAAGCGTGGGTTAATGTGCTTGTAAACTACAAGTTAATTCTCACTGTTCCCACCACATACTACACAGGACGGGACCCCTCACTCATGCCGGCCGCACTACAGTGAGGGGGCCCCCTCACTTTTGCCTACCGCACTACAGTGACGGGGCCCCCTCACCATAGTGAGTGCCCCTCACAATACCGCACTTCCCATGCTGTCGTACTTTGATAGATGAGAGTAATGACAATCAAACAATGTGTAACGCAAGTTTTCCGCACAAACTAAGACGAAAACAAACTGTAGCAAATAGGTGTGTAGTTGGGGAGGTCGGTACCATGATCAGAATAAATAAAACGACGCAAAAGATGAGAAGTCGAAGACAGAAAGAGAGCGAGTTCGAAACGAAACTCACCAGACCAAAAGAGCGAGCACAGCAACCAGAACAGCGATGATAATAGACATGGCGCCGCGTTTCAAACTTCGGCGCAAAAACCGCACCTTCACGACTTCACAGAGGAGGGGCACGATGATCGTAAGCAGAGTGAGGCGATCAAACGATCAAAGACGACACAAACACCGCTCAAATACACTCGGAGTTCACGACCAAAACTGACCAAAACTCACGCCCGTCAACCGTGTACGTGCAATGCCTCTGGATAACTGATTGGGCTCCACCAACGGGCTCCACCCATTGGAAAGGGTGGTAGCTAGCGCCCTCTCAGTCAGTGCGCAGCAGTGGTGTGCAAGTAGATAGGTGGAAGGTTAGATGTTAAAATACCCTTTGCAACTGGCGGTAGCTTGCGCCACCTAGCCTAAGTCTAAAAAACGAACACATGATTCCTCCCGCCCTTCTAAGACCAATTTCCCCCCTCTAACTATCTCCAGGCAGTGTGAGATATCACCAGGATGACCTTCGAGAGATCGGGCAAAAAAAGAAGAAAACCCTGCCTCTTCCCCCCGGCGAGGGAGTGTCCATTTTCCTCTGGTCAAACCTTGTCGGCGCTACCCCAACACCGGACCCACCGGGAGACAGGGTTAAAATTTTGGGCCTGAGCCAAGGGGGAAGGAGTCCAAATTTTCCTCTGTCCCGCCTGTCCCCAGTGTAGCCCAAAACAACCCATTCCCGTTTGAACCCGTCCCATTTCGACCCATTTCGACCCATTCCCGATTCCCGAATCGACCTTCCCGTTTGAACAGGCCTGTTTCGACCCATTCTCGAAACGACCTTCCCGTTTCAACCCGTCCCGTTTCGTCCCATTCCCGAAACGCTGTCTCAGTAAAGAGTTTTAGCAGATCGTTTTTTCGCCCCGTTAACGACACCCGATAACGATGCGATGCATGCCGAAGGCCGCCGGAGGGGAGAGGAGGTATAGTTATCGGGGCGGAAAAAAGAATCTGCTAAAACTCCTTCCCGTTTCAACCGATACCTGAAAGACCCTTTGCCTTAGAACCAGTGGCGTTACAAAGGGAGGGGGGGGGGGGGGGGGGGGGGACCGCCCCGGGTGCAGCACTCCGGAGGGTGTTGAGGCACACGAGGGGGGGAGGAAGTGTCGCGGAGGGCCACGAGACCTGGGGGGGGGGGGGGGGGGGGGGGGGGGGGGGGGGGGGGGGGTAGGGTTTGAGGCGGGCCACCGCCCCGGGTGTCGCTAACCCTAGTGACGCCACTTTCTAACCCTGGTCTGCGCGCACCTTTTCTGCTTAAGAATATATCTTCTGAAATATTATTGCATGCCAATGTACTTTACAAATATTCACCTCTTCCAGGCAAGCTTCGAAGTAATATATTATTTTCATATGATTTTCATAACGCGCAACCGCGAAACGGTCTATGTACGTACGTTCTGCGACACCGTTACTGCAAAAACGACCTTGTCGTTTTTTGGTTCTTTTTTTAATTTTACTTCGAAATGGTATTAGCAGGCACAAAATTTTAGGGCTTAGGGTACAGGCTCAGATGAGCACTTCCAAAAACGGTTATAATTTTTATGGCATCCTTTTAATTCTATGAGATAAACAGCAACACCGCCAATCGCTTGTTCGCGCTACGTACAATAATGAATTAAGTCTTGCGTACACAACGATGTGACGTCTTCCCTGCAGTGCACACCCCTTTTGTATGCAGATGATTTGACAATTATGCACCCAGTCCAGAATCCCTCCCAGTATCAGCAACTTCAGGACGACCTCAACACCGTCCATGATTGGTCTGTGGCAAACAAGCTCCCCCTGAACATTAACAAATGCTCATCAACTCTCATTACCACATCAAGAAGCCATAACACCAGACAGCACAGCTTCCAGCTGAATGGAGAGGAACTCCCCACCACTAACCGTGCAAGACTTCTTGGTGTGACAGTAGATTCAAAATTAACCTTTTCGCCGCACATTGGGGAGGTGACCTCAAAAGCCCGCCGGATGCTCGGATTTGTGCGTCGAGTCACCCGAGGAGCTGGCGCCAGTGCATTGCGGGACCTGTACACTGCTCTAGTGCTCCAACAACTCGAGTATTGTGCTTCAGTTTGGGACCCTTACCAGAATTCACTGAAAGCGTCCCTCGAGAGTGTGCAGCGGCGTGCCGCCTACACAGTCTTGCGGTGCCAGGCTTCCCCTGGACTGCCACATTACCGCGACCTGTCCACGCAAGAACTTCTGAGGATGGTGGGGTGGAACCCCCTAGCACTTCGCCGGCAGGTTGCATCACTCCGGCTCCTTGCTGACAGCCTCCTCCCAAGAGATCAGGAGCTCCCGCTGGTTAAAAGCTTGCGCCTTACTAGATCTGGTGGGCTACAGCCACTGTTCGGTCGCACTGTGCGTCACCAGAACTCTGTCTTGGTGAAGTGTGTAACCCTCTGGCGCTCGCTGCCAAAGACGCTGACCGACTGTCCACCCCAGGAGAAGGATGACCTTAAAGACTGGTGCAAGGAGGTATCGGACTTCCTTCAGCAGTGATCTTCCATGGAAAAAAACGTTGAATGCTTCATTGTCATATTTATTTATTTATTTGTTTCTTTTTTCACAATATGTAGTAGTGCGGCACCACAGGCCTCAGGTATGGGCCAATGGCCTTTCTGTGGTGCCGCAACCCTCCAGGGTTGAATAAAGATATTATTATTATATTATTATTATTATTACAAGCACATTGGGTATAGCTAAAATTAGCGTCGCCATCGCGACGCTATTTTTAGATTACTCAAAGTGCTCGCGTACGTTACTCTAAAACCTCATATCAGTTATCTTGATATTTTGGTGAGCGATAAATCAGACAGGGTGACAGGCATATGATTGCGACTTTATTCTCTCTTGCGATTTCAAACACTGAACACTCGCGCGCACAGGAAAACATCATAGACCAGAAAATGCTTTCGCCGGTTGAGAAAGTCGAACAGGGAAATCGTGCCATTAGAAAGGCGACACTCCAGTTCTGACAGTTTGCGGTCCTTGTTGACCCACTTATGCCCCCTGGCCCGCACGGCAAAGCTGCTGCAAAGATACCCGTCAAAGCCTCATCCCGTTTGAGCAAATCGATGAAGCTGTAATCGTTCGGGTGAGCCCTCCCTGACACCACGCGTTTATCTTATGGTGCCATTTCTCCAAGGTTGTTTCGGAAGAGAGAAAAGTGATGTCAGCAGGAAGGACAGACATTGGACACTTGAAGCTAAACAACTGTTAACGAACAATACAAACGAACCGACCCAACTGATAACAAGCGATGGCCGAATCGGGAAGGCTGTTTCGGGATAGGGCGAAATATGAAAGGATGAAACGAGAAGGCAGTTTCGAGCCGGGTCAAAGCGGGAAGGTACAAACAAGAAGGTTGAATTGGGAATGGATCGAAACGGGAACCCCCCCTGTCCCCAGCTGTGCAAGTTAGTTGTTCATCATTCAATTTTCCCCAGATAATTTCCACCAACCTTCTAATCGCCTCTTTGTCACTGTAATCCTTCTCTCTTCCGTCCTTCCATCGTCGCCAGTAAAACCCAGGGCCCCGGCCAAATCCGTTACCCCTTCAGGAAGGGCAGGGCGAAGCCCCGTGCACTTCAAAACCAAGTGTCTCGCTATCATTATGGCAAGCGGCACATAATGTGCCTGTCTCCTGAAATTTAGCCCTATACGTCATCGTCTTCCAAACTCCCGTTCTTGCCTCGAAGAGCAAAGAACTTCCCAGTGAATAGACCTCTTGGGGAATATGTGCTGCCACCTAACACGCGACTGGGTTCGAGGCTAAGTGGCGAGAAAACAATACACGCACGCAAGGCCTCTCCCACCCGTTCCACACCCAAAACGTCAGCTACATCCTGTTCGCCCATTGAGTCGCTGTGACCTAGATACGGCTCCCCCAAACTCGCCTTTGTCCCCATCGTGCGTAATCTTCCGCCCCGAAGTCGACACAACTAGACCATCTTCCCTCACTGCTCGGCCAGAAGGAAGAGAGAGAGGGTACTGGAAACATTTACTCTCGAACCGACGTTTCTACAAAAGGTCCATTGTCAAACACATTTTCCATTCTTATGTCCTGTTTTCGTGGGTTCCCGGACATTTCATCGAACGCCGTTTCGTCGAACACCGTTTCATCGAAAAAATGGACTTTTCATCGAACGCCGTTTCGTCGAACGCCGTTTCATCGAATCGCTGACGGCCGTTTCATCGAATGTCTTTTATATAAAAAAAAAGTGTGAAAGATGCTCTTTTATGCATGGATCGAGTGCATTTTCGTGTCAATCCCCCATTTCATCGTCAGGTTTTTTAATGTCCAAACTTGTAGCTGTTACAATTTATTTTGATGCAAGTAACCCATGAGGATATTTGTACCGATCTTTATGTTTGTTTTGAACATTGTGCTTATCTGTTCACCCCCTCTGTATTACCCGATGGGCCTTGAGGCTATTGTAACAAATAAATAAAAAGTCGCACTCCCGGTAATAGCGCACTCCAACTAATGGAGGCCAGAAGGCGACTTAGGTTTTGCGCAGGCGCAACAACTTTAGCCATGTGAGCCTCCTATAGCCTCTCATGTCTTTCTATTGATACTTTTTTTACTGCCCGAAGCGTGCAGTAGCTAAAGCTGAAGTGCTATTTATGGAACTACAACGAAACATTGTATTTTTAGTTCTAAGACTCAATGAAGTCAAAAGCAAGTACGTCACTTCAAATTTTATTTGAAAACTTTTGGGGGTTCATGTGTTCGTGCGACAGCTATTCATCGTTTGTAATGATGAGCAATTGCTCTCAAAAAGTCCCCCACAGCCATGCTCCGTCGGTTCTCATAAAAAAGGCGGGCCTTTTCATTTCTTGCCGCTATGGCCTTCTTCTGGCGAGAGGCTCTTGGGAACTCAGCATCGCCTCCGGCTTGTCTTCCGTCAGTTGATGTTCTGCGGCGATGCAAGTCAAAAACTTCCAGAACTCGGGATGGGCACCTCCGACCAGCTTTAGGAAGCGGGAATGCAACCCTGGCGTTCGATAAGACGGCGTTCGATAAGACGGCGTTCGATGAAACGGCTTCGATGAAACGGTGTTCGATGAAACGGCGTTCGATGAAACGGCATTCGTTGAAACGGCTTCGATGAAACGGCGTTCGACGAAACGGCGTTCGATGAAATGTCCGGTCCCAGTTTTCGTGACCTGTGCACTGTTAGAGCTGATTTCTCCTGGATTTTTCCCTACCACATTTTCCTCTCTGCCTCTTTCACCCCTTTTTCACTGAAGTAGTCTGTTCAGCCTCATCACCTGTGTTAGGTATTTAAATGTAAGCTTCGGGTTCGGTTTGTCCATTTTGTGTTTAAACTTTTCATGTACAAATGCTTGAATACCTTCCGTACCCACCGCGTATCATCCATTTCGGTCAACCCTTGTTCAAATTTCAACTTATTAATTGCCTCCCTGCTCTCAAAAGACGACCATCCCATAACCCCCTGTACTTCCACATTTGGTGTTCTTCCATGTGCTCCCAGTGCCAATGCTTCTTTGTCAAATTTCTAATCCTGACTGAACCTCTGATTTCATGCACAGTACTGCATTGCCAAAAGACAGTCCTGGTACCATCACTTCTTTCCATATACCACTGACCACTTCGTATCAATCATAGTTCCATAGCGCCTTGAGCTTCATAATAGATGAATTTATTTTCCCTTTTTTAATAATATTCTCCTCAGGTTTCATAATGGAACAGCGCGAATTTTTGCAAGGACAGGAGAAGGAACTGGACAGGACGAGCGCTGCCTGTCCGGTTCCTTCTCCTTGTCGAATTTTTGCAAGGACAGGAGAAGGAACTGGACAGGCAGCGCTCGTCCTGTCCAGTTCCTTCTCCTTGTCCTTGCAAAAATTCGCGCTGTTCCATTATGAATCCATACCAACTCGCCCAGTTATCCTGTTTACTATCTCCTCAGGTTCCTCTAGATATTTCCTTCCCTCATTGAGCCAGACTCCCAGATATTTGGAGTTTTCTACATGGTCTATTACAATGTCTTGTATCCTCAGGGGTTCCGTCTCTTCGTCGTTAAACACCATTACTCCAGACTTGTCACTACTAAATCTCATGCCCAATGTGTCCCCTTCCTCTCCACATATTCTAGCTAGTTCCTGTAATGTATCCTGGTTATCTGCCATGAGTACAATGTCATCCGCATACATCAGTCCTGGTGTTACCTGTACTAGATGTCTCCCTCCTTCCACATAACTCATATCAAAACCTAAGTTGCACTGCTTTAATTTCTTTTCCAATTTACATATATCATGAAGAACACAGGTGACAGTGGACAGCCCTGCCCGAGTCCTCTTTTTAGCGCTGCGGATTGTGTAGTTTCTGCTTCCCATGCTATAACTACCTTATTGTCTGTGTACGCTTGCTAAAGAAACCTAACCAAATTTGCAGTGGCGTACCAACTTGTTTTTGAGTGGGGGGGCAAACCAGACCCTCCCCCCCCCCCCCCCAAATCGAAAATTCGGCGTAACTTTTGTCCAACTTTTCTAAAGATTTGGCAATGATTCGGCAAAATTACAACGTTACCAGACTTAACATTGATATTTTGTTTTTTCTCACGAAAAAAATTTTGCTTCTTCTTCTTAAAATAAATACAACTTGTAGTGCCTATTGAAAGAGTTATGACTAAATAAGGTGATATTCTAGAAGATAATTGTATCGATGTCGCTTTTGTGTGTTTACTTGTAATTTTGGTGTATGCTTCCAGAAAGTGGCGTGACAACGAGGTTGGGTAGTAGCCGGCACAGTCACGAATCACACTACGAGAGCTTTGATTTTGAGGCTTCATCAGCGCACGCCTGCAAGTGTGTTTACATTGTTAAAATAAAGGCAATCACTGCGTTCTTACTTTCTCTGGTAGTCGCCGTTTCGTGCGCGAAAACGGATGCAACGGTTGCTGAGCCTTCACCAGAAGAGATAACAATATTGTAAATATGCATGTTTTTCGATTTGAGTCACTTGACGTCAGCTTTGCATGAAAGTGCGCGTTCTATATTCGCAACGTGCCGTTTTTAACCTTTAAAATTCCGGTTTCTGATGTTCGGACACACACGGACGTTTAGGAAGATGGGGAGAGTTAGGAATGGTCGGATGTGCAACGTCGACCATGATAGTTCTGTGTTTAACGAATATTTTTCATCAGTGTTTACTAACGAGTGCTTGGACTCCGTCCCCACTCTCCCTGAAGAGCTTTACGAGCGCATGCATCCTATTAACGTTAACTCCGCCGGTATTATAACATTGATTGATAAACTAAAACTTACTTCGTCCGCTGGAACCGATAACATCAACTCTAAAATTTAAAAGAAACACCAGTGTTATTTCGAGTGAGTATTTAAAACTTATCTTTATTCAGTCCTTATCTCAAAGGTGCCTTCCATCTGACCAAAAGGTGGGAAGGGTAATTCCCAGTCTTTAAACAGGGCAGCCGCTCTTCCGCATCTAATTATCGCCCTAATTCATTGACTTCAATTTTTTGCAAACTACTTGAGCATATCCTCTACTCCAATATCATGAGGCACCTATCATCCCATTTCTTTTCTTTAAACAGCAGCACGGTTTTCAAAAAGGTACACTCTCCGGCAATATGAAAGACCCACTGGGAGCGCGTGGCCGAGGC